TGGATCCTTCCTGAGAGGTGGAAAATAGCTACTTCAGCCCCTCCAGGTTTCCAAAGCACTCGTTTCACAATCATCATGGCAGAGAGAATAGAATGGTTTCATGTTTGACATACGGGGAAATGGGAGTTAAGAAAGCCCGAGGTCATACAGCAAGCATTAAAACCAGAAATCTCACTGACCCTTTCTGGGCCTTAGTTTCTCCATCTGTAAAATGAAGCCGAGGCGGCCTTTGAGGACCCTTCCTGTTCTAGATTCAGGGTCCTATGACTCTAGGTCTTTTCTTCTCCTTGTACTAAGCTGCCAGGTTGGGTTCTTTTGAACAGGGGGGTACCTCTCACACTTCCCCTCTTCCCAGTGGTGGGGCTGGTGGTGCTGTGGTGACCTGGTAGGTATTGATCTGATGACCAGCCCTGGGCTTTCTAGGGACCCTCAGTGGCAGGGGGATGAGCATACTTGCTACACCTGCTTGCCAGAGTTGTGGTGAGGAAAGTCCTTGGTCAAGCTCGGGGTGTTAGAGGAATGCAAATTGTCATTATGCCCTTTGGGGCCCATGGTATCGCCATGGGGGCTGCCTCCCGTGTGGGGCTGCTGGGAGAGAAAGAATGTTTCCTGACCCTTAGACCGCAGCAGAAGGGAGAGGGAGGTGACGCTGGGCGGCTCCCAGCCGCTCCTGCCCTTTCTATCTGCCCTTGCCAGGATGCTCTCAAACACGCCCCCTCTCCAGTCACACGGAGCTTGGACTCTTATCACCTCTTCCCTAGACTACAGCAATCACCTGCGGACGGTCTCCCTGCCTGGTGTCTCCCCACTCCAGTCCATTCTCGTCTCGACTATCGATTTTTTCTAAAATCTAGATCTGACCACGTCAACCCCCCTCCCCTTTCTCCAGCCGCAACTCCAGGAGCTCCAAAGGCTCCCAATGATCACATCCAGGCTCTACACCTAAGTTTTCTGTTGGCCACGTAAGCTCTTCACAGCCTAGTTCCAGCCTAGCTTGACAGCCTTCCTCCGCCTTCCACCCCTCCAACTATACTGACTTACCTAGAGGAGCTATAACAGCACTAGGGCTTCCGACTGGACATTGCGCCGGCTGTCCCCCAGGGCCTGAGCGCTCTCCCTCCTCCTCTCCACCTCCCGGCTTCCTCCGAGGCTCAGCTCCAGTGCTGCCTTCCACGGGAAGGCCTCTCCTGAGCCCCTGCCCTGCTGCCCCTTCCACACTGCCTTCACATAACTCTGTATGCGTCTTGTATCTACCAGGTCTGCATTGTGTCTTCTATCAGAATGTATTTTCCTTGAAAAGTAGAATGTATTTTTCCGGGGAAAAAACCCACAAGAGACTTAAGTTATATCCCTAGCACCGAGCACAAAGTTTGGCCCTTAGTAAGTGCTTCATAACTTTGTATTTTGGGTTTGTTTACATTCTCTTTTATTATTATTATAATTGATCAGCTCTGACATTCTCCCTGCTAAGGGCCCTCCTGGCTCTGACATTTTATATTGTAAGACCCCTCCCAGCTCTGACATCCTGTGTTCTTTTTTTTTCTTTTTTAATAATTTCAATTGCTTCTTTATTTTTTATTTTTTGGTTAGCAATGGGGTTAAGTGACTTGCCCAAGGTCACACAGCTAGTGTTATGTGTCTGAGGCCAGATATGAACTCGAGTACTCCTGAATCCAGGGTTGGTGCTTTATCCACTGTGCCACCTAGCTGCCCCCCATCCTATGTTCTAAGATCCCTCCCAGCTCTGACATCCTGTGTCCTAAGGGCCTTCCCAGCTCTGACATTCTCTGTTCAAAGGGCCCTCCCAGCTCTGACAGTCTGTGTTCTAAGAGCCCTCTTAGCTCTTACATTAGGTCTCTTAAAGGGATGCTGAGGAGGTGACGTTTCTATTGTTTACTACCCTGGTCAAAACCCCTCTGGGGACATTTTGTTCATTCTCAGTGCCATATTTTACCAAAGACACAGAACCATCTCAGAGGCCAACCAGGACGGAGGGCAGCTCATAGACTCAGCTTACTGACAGAGCTGGGGATGTCCTTAGAACTTGGACATGAGAAGACCTGGGGGAAGGTGGTAGATGACTTCCTCCATCTGTAGGTCTATCATGGGCATGAGGCATGACTTGTCTGCTAGAGGGCACAGCTAAGACGGACAAGTCAAAGTTATAGGGAAGTGGAATCTGCTGTAACATAAGTAACAAGCTGGCCCAAAGTAGCACTAGCTGCCTTGGGAGGCAGCGTTCCTGACCCATCACCGGAGACTTTTGAGTGGTTGCTGCTGCCAGAAGGATTGTTGCACAGGTACGGCTTGCTGTCAGTGACTTCTGAGATTCTACAGTGATTAGGAAGGGCGTCTGGAGGCAATTAAAATAAAAATATGTACCTCCAGACCAGGAGAAATGGATTAGCTGTTTTGAATGAACTATTTAAAAGCCTCCGAAATATGGCTCCCACTTACCTCTCCGGGCTTGCTTCTTATTATTGACGTTAACAGTCTCCTAGCTGGCCTTTCTACATGACTTTTTCCTTTCTTACCTCAGGTGCCTTTGCAATAATGGTCCTTTATGGCTGGAATGCAGCGGAGTCCCAGGATCCTCCAAAGCTTGGCTTAGATGCTGTCTCCTGCATGTGGCCCTTCCTGACCCTCTTCTATGCCCCGCTCCTCAAATCATTAGCAGTCTCTTGTTGAAGTTATATTACTTCGTACTGGTTTTATACTTATTCCTGCTGTATACATGCTGTATTCTCCCAGAAGAATTGCCTTTGGGGACAAGGACAGTCTTTTTTATTTATGTCTTTGTATTACTGGGGGCTAGCATGATGCATTGTATATAGTAGGTGCTAAATAAATGTTGATCAAATTGAACTATATCCCTGGTGATAGAGGGGTGGGGGTGTGTGTGTGTGTGTGTGTAGGGTCTCACTGGGCTGGGCTTCCTCTTTTCTTCCTAGGACTGTAGCAATGACACCAGAGAACGGATCACATTAAGGCCGAGTGGCGCTGACTGGCACCCTCTCTTTGGACTCCACTGAGGGAGAGAGAGGGAGGAAGAAGCTTGGGCACAGAAGTCGGTCTGTGCCCAGTCATAGGCGTCACCCTTTCCTTGAGCCGGCCGATGCCAGCTGTTGAACTCTCATCAGGGGCCCAGGGACAGCCGCTGGGCTTATCTTGTGGGCGGCTGAGGGCAGCCAAAAAACCCACCAGGGCACAGTCTTTGAAGGGAGGCTCCCACAGAATGCCTCGGGCAGCTTGTGCCATGCTGGACAATGTGTCCTCTGGGAAGGCCGGCGCATGTAAACACGGAAGGATGGGAGCCCGCCCTGGCGCTTAATAAATGCTTGTTGATGGATACTAGTCACATGACCACGGGCAAATGATGTCATCTCTGAACCTGATTCATCCATCATGTGTCAAGTGGAGGGATGGGCTAACAATTACCTGGCAGTGGGGGGAAGGGGCTAACACCTACCTCTTTTTTTTTTTTTGCTTTTTAGTGAGGCAATAGGGGGTTAAGCGACTTGCCCAGGGTCACACAGCTAGTAAGTGTTAAGTGTCTGAGGCTGGATTTGAACTCAGGTCCTCCTGACTCCAAGGCCAGAGTTCTATCCACTGTGCCACCTAGCTGCCCCAACCTACCTTTTTACCGTTTGTCTCCTTCCTCCATGCCTTTGTCCATGCTGTTCCCTATGCCAAGGATGCCCTCCCTCCCTTTGTCAGCCTGTTAGATTTCCATCTATTCTTTAAAATCCAATTCAAATGCCACCCCTTCAGGAAACTTTCTCTGATCTGTCTTCTATTCCTTCCCAGGCTTAACAGAGTATGTTTGTACCCTTGTAATGTACAGATGGATTAGTATTATGTATGAAAGGAACATCCTTAAGGCCAGGGGCTGTACTTTGTTCTAAGTACCAGTACTTAGCACAGTTCCTAACTCACAGAAAGCACGGAATGTTCATTGATTGACTGACTGACTGAACTGTGTTTCTGTCAGATCCTCCTCTTAGACCGGGAGCTCCTTGAGGGCAAGGACTGGAGCTTAGCTAAATTATGTGGCTTTTCCCTAATAGATATTTGTTGAATCCAACTGAGGGGATTCAACCCCAAGTAAGGGTGGTGGTGTTTCTCCAGGCTAAGCCTCTCGGCCCAGCTAACCCACCCCAATGTGCCTGGGGAATCTCCCCAGTCCACCTGGTACTTACACAGAACAGGGGTCCGACATGTAACTAACGTGTTTATTCCAGTACCATTCACTATACTTGACTGTTCCATTGAAACATCTGCATTTGCTCCTGGAGGGACTTAGACACAGCAGCACCTGTGTTCTGACCCATCACCAAGGACAGCCCCCTTGGCCAAGCCATTCTCTCCTGGCCAACGGTCCGGTCTTAGAGCTGGGAGAGACACCAAATCTCCCCAGAGAAAGAAGCAGCCCATTACCTGCAGATGCAGAGTCTCCGTGGGACGGGGAAAACCATCTCATGGGGTATCACAGTGAATGATTCAGGTCCTGGCCTCTGACACAGTGCGGTCCAAACTCCTAGGGCACTTTCTTTTGGGGCCCTCTGCTATACTAAACTAGATTTGCTCCTCTCAGAGCAGTCAAGGGCAATGCTGGTGGCTCTGCTGGACCTTTTCTCTTTGGGGGCTGGTCCAAAAACACTGAATGTCAGGTTTAGTGACTATATTTTGCTTGTCAGTCCCGGGTTCTTCTTGCTTCCCTAAACTCACCCCTCCTTCTAATTTCCAAATAGGTGGGGCTGGCATTGACCTAACTTCTTTTTCCCACCCAAGGGCATCTGTTTAAGAGTTGTAACCTTGGGGTGTAGAGTGATTCCCCTCTCCATCCCATGCCTACCTGCCTGTGTGTCTGCCTGCCTTCCCATAAGTTCTGCTCAGCCCTGGAGTGGCCTTTGCTTTGGTGAGATGGGACGACAGGGTGGATGGGAAGCCTATGGGATATTGGAAACCATATGTTAAAAAAATCAGGAAATGGGCATATAAAATCTTGCCCTTGGTATATTGCCTAGTCAATACGTGTAAATGTCCTCCTGCCAGGAGAAGGACCAAGTCCTTAAAAGATAGGAAACGTCAAAGTGTTACTTCATTGTCATTTAAAAAAAACCCCAACAAAACAACCCCAACCCCACAAAATTGGTGTAAACAGACCAAGCAACAGGATGAATCTTCCCCGATGGCAATCACAGCCAACGCTTTAGCACCAGTCACCGATCTGCTTGCTCCCGGGCCTTGGGAGAGCCCGAAGAGAAGGAAGAGGTCATTGGCACGTGGTGAAGACCCAACTCCAAATTTTGTGCATGTGATATGTATGAGAAGGTGGTGCCACTGTAGGGTGTATGGAGATGCCCGGGCAAAGGTGGCTCTCACAAAAGCAGTCTTTTGCAAGAGCTGGGTCATTGCTTGTGTAAAGTGTCCTCCCCTTCTTATGGGGAGTGGAGGGCTGTGCCCATCAGCCCCCTGCAAAAACAAACAAGTCTCTCTCATTCTCTCTTTTTTTTGTTTTCCTTTTCAGTTTGTTGAAATCTTCAAAGCTGAAGAATTCAGCAATTTGAGTTGGGGCAGGTCCATTTTGGGGGAATGGTTCCTCAGGCCCCCTGGGCCACCTGCCCACTTCCGTGTCCCCGAGGGGAAACTGAGGCCTCAAGGAGGACTGGCTGTCAGGTGATGCTAGGGATAGCAGCCTTCTGAGGGAGAAGAGGAGGGCCAGGCTTCTCTTCACATTCATCTTCCTGAAAGCACTCCTCTCCTTCTGGTCTTGGTCAAGCAGAAGTGGGATCATTCCTTCTTAGAGGGAGATGAAGAAACGGCTTTTGGTCTCAGACTGGAAAAAAAAATCTTAACGAGCCCTTTTCAAGACTGTCATTGCTGTTCTTCATTCATTACTTGTTCTTTAAAAATAGTTTTCATATGGTTTTCCCCAAAATATCATTTTTTCCCATTCCCTTTTTTCTTTCTTTTCTTTTCTTTTTTTTTTCCCATTGCTTCAATTGTCGGCGTTTCTGATGACTTCTCTCGGCTGGAGGAGCTACCTGCTGCCACTGTCCTCAGAGCAGGTGGGTGACTCTGTGATCGGACATAGACGCTCAAAAACTGGGACCGGGGCACACAGAGGCAAAGGGGAGCAGGGCCATGAGGAAGAGGAGAGTGAAAGTGGGATGAAGGTCAAACTTCTACCGACTGGATCTGGTTCATTTGCGCTCGCATCACCTGAATACTGTTCAGAATTTTCTTTTGATGACCAGCTAGAGTGACGCCCACACGAAGAATGTCCCTTTGGGGAAGAAACACAAATACGCATGTGTTGGACAATGGAACCCAAAGGCTAAAATATGACAGCCCACCTTTAGAAGGAAGACTTTCCCCCTTGTCATTCTCCCACTCCCTCTGTGGCCGCTCTGAACGTAGCCTCAGAAGCCTCTCCCTGCTCTGAACTCACAGCCCTTTTAAGTTGGCCGTTAATCATGTCTGTAGCTTGTGGGAATGAGTGGAGAACGTGTGAAGAATGTAGCTCACAGAGGGAAAATGACCACGGTGGGACCTGGCCCTGGGTGCTGCTGGCTTGTGCATGATCATCAGTGACTGAGGGGGGTGTTCCCTCTGCAGAAGAAGAGAGCCGATGAGAGGGAGAGGAAGCCTGGTTTCTCAAGGTTGGAAGGGATCTCTAACCTGCACCTGAGCTAGATTTCCTGGAATCTCTGCAAGATTCCCTCTGAGTGACCAAGCAGCCCACATTCAAAGACCTCCAGCCTTGTGAGACATACCATTTGGCTTGGGGAGCTCTCATTGTTAAAAATGAGAGCTCTCTCCCTGCAACACTCCTCCCACTCTGCACTGCTTCCACTTCTGCCCTCTGGGGGACTGAGCAAGACAAGGCCCTCATCCACACGACAGCCCCCAAATACCTGAAGACGGCTCTCATGGCCCACAGTGACAGCTCTTCCGGCTGATCTTTGAACGGTCTGATCTCCGGGTCCCTCACCAACCCGGCTACCAATTTTTGGAGTCTTCTAATTTAAGGCTTTGTTTTTGCTATTCAGTTGCTATTCAGTGTCACGTCCAACTGTGACACCGTTTGGGTTTTTTTTGGCAATAATGCTGGAGTGCTTTGCCATTTCCTTCTCCGGCTCATTTGACAGATGAGCAAACTGAGGCAAACAGGGTGAAGTGACTTGTCCAGGGTCACATAGCTAGTAAGTGTCTGAGGCCAGATTTGAGCTCAGGAGGATAAGTCTTCCTGACTCCAGGCCCTGCACTCTATGCCAGGGGTGGGGAATCTGCTCTATGCACTGTGATGCCACGTAGCTGCCTTTAAGACTCTGTACTATAGTGGAAAGAGTATTGGACTTGTAATCAGGAGATAACTGGAGTTAAAACCCACTTCTGACACTTCCTAGCTGTGTAACTATGGGTGACTTCTCATCTGTAGAATGGGAATAATAATTTCAGTAGAGCACTGAGGTGGCACAGTGGATACAGCACTCGGCCTGGAGCCGGAAAGAATTGCGTTCCAATCCAGTCTCAGACACTAGTTGTGTGACCCTGGGCTAGTCACTTTAACTTCACCTAGCCTCAGTTTCCTCATCTGTAAAATGGGGATAACAATAGCACCTACCTTTCAGGGTTAGAGAATCTTTGTAAAGCACGCTGTAGACTTAAAGCACTGTATAAAGGCTAACTGTTACGATAGTTGTTGCTAACGTCCTTCCTAAAATGAGAACAATTACAGTAAGGGCCCCCACTTGTTTCATGCTTTGCAGTTTGCAAGCACTTTATATCCATGATCTTATTTGGGAAGGCAGTAGGGGCTTCACTGTTACCTCAGACTTGGGTTATTGTTTGACTCTTCCTGTGGTCATGTCTTAGCTCCCTAACGAGGAACTAATCTCCCCTGGGGGCGAGGAACCACTCTTACACTTTTTTGCATCCTCCTACCTTTGGGCGCATGGCAGGTGTTTCATAAGTATTTGCTGATTCCATCACATTGATTACTCGACAATGATTTCCTCTGGGGCCTCTGGCTTACTACTCCAGGCCTGGGCTGTCAGAATGATGTGGGATTAGGGGTAGACAAGGCAGGCGGCTTGCCTAGGGCACAACACCTGGAGAGGTTCGACGAAGGCTGCTTTTTAATATGACTTTTTCTAATTCCTTTAATACCAAGAAATGTTGCTCTCCACGGCTGAGATGTATTGATTCTTCGATCTGTCAGATTGCATGGGTTATGGTAAGGGCTGAAAGCCTCCAGTGGCCAGTCATAAACCATTTTGTTCCTTGCCGTGGGTGCAGAACCACCTTGTTCTCATTTTGTGGTTGGATGGCTGGGCCGCCACACCCTCCTTCCCGGCCCCCCAAGCCCTGCCTCATACCTTCCCTTTTCTGCCTGAGCTTGCTCAGGCTCCTCTAAGTGCCACTAACTCGGCTCGGGGAGCTTTCAGATCTCACCTCTCCGCTTTGCTACAGATCGCTTTCTACTCGAGAAGAGTAAATGCCTCATCAGACACTCTCAGGTGCATATTAGCTACTGGGGCCTGGGGCCAGATCTCCTCACAGTCAATTTCCCTTTGTGATCTCATCAGACACTCTCAGGTGCATATTAGCTACTGGGGCCTGGGGCCAGATCTCCTCACAGTCAATTTCCCTTTGTGATCTAGCCGTGTTCCTAGCTCACTCCTGCAACCTGCAGATGGATGGATGGCGGCACATTACCTTCCCAGACATCTCCCTCTTAGCTAACACGGAAAGGGCTAATCCCCAGACCCCTGAGGCTGAATCCGATGAAAAAAACCAACAGGGAATCACAGAAACTCCTGTGCAAGGTAATGAAGGAAAGACCATGAGTGCCCTGCTCTCCAGACTACCTCCTATCACTTTACATCTATTCTAAGTATATCAGTTATCTCCCCTGACAGAATGGAAGCTCCTTGAAGACAGGTTTTTCATTACGTTTCTGTATCCCCAGCTCTTGGCATATGGTAGGCACTTAATAAATGCTCTTTGATTCGTGGGAAGCTGCTAGCTGCTAGCCTCAACCAGTCTGCCACCTGTGAGACAGACCCCAGTAGGAAGTCACTTGGCTTGTGGCCAGCAAGAATTTGGCCCTCTTCAGTCACTTCTCCAAGGCCAGGATTGGAAGCAGGCCCCTTCCCCTTAGCTGGCTGGCACCCTCCTCACACAGGCTGGCAGGGAGGGCAGGCCTACAGGGCTGGGCTTGTCCTTGCTTCTGACCTGGGAGGGAGCTGGCAAGGAAACCAATGACCTGGCAGAGGAGCCGAGGGCAGCCTGGGCAGACACGACACTTACTCCATCATCATCTGGGAGACGACATCGAAGGATGTGAAGCCGGCATTAGCAAAGCTCTCCTTGTACTGGCCCATCTTGATGGCCTCCAGCCACTCGTCCACCGTGTTAAAGCTGGTGTAGTCGGGGACCGTGCGATCCAGCAAGGGGAGGTTGATCCTGAGAGAGGGTCAGAAACTGTCAGTGCATGTGTGTATATGCATATGTGAATGCACGTGCATGCATGTGCGCACAGCATCTACAATACATGCACACACATGTATACGTATATGCACGTACCGTATACACGCACAGGTGTGTGCATGCATGCATGGATGTATACACATGCATAGGTGTATATATTTATATATACGTGCACTATGTAGAGGTACATAGTGTGTGCGTATGTGGAGGGGCTACAGGTCAGAGGAGGATAGGGTCTGCTGGGGTCATTTGGAGGCATAGAGGGGCCTGGACAAGTACTTGAAGGGTGATTTATGCTGAAAAGAGAGCGAAAAAATAGATGTGTGAAAGATGTGTGTGTGGGGGGGCTGGGGGTGGGGACAGGAGAGGGGGGCAAAAGGGTTGGGTCACTTTTACAACAGGAAATGAGGAAGACAGAAAGGAGGTCCTGGGATTTGAACTCAGAATCCAGGTTCCAAGTGTCTCTTTGACCTGTGTGACCCTGGGCAGGGAGCTCACCCTCTCTGGGCTGGAGTCCCCTGCAGAGTCACAACCTGACTGCCAGGGTAGTGACTGAAGAGCAGAAACAAGCATAGCTGGGCGGGGCAGTGGGTGGAGGCTTAGCCTTGGAGTCAGGAGGATCCCACTTCCAATACTGCCTCAGACCCTGGCTAAGTCACTGAAAACTCTCTAGGCCTTCATGGGAAAAATGAAGACTCTACTAGCAGCTGCTTCACAGGGTTGCTGTAAGGGTCCAGTGAGATGACGTGCATTATTGCCAGCTCTGGAGTCTATGGTTATTGAGGGCATATGGGTTGTTTCCAGGCCTCCTGTAACCTGGAATCATCTTCTTTCAACATTTGAGGAAGTTTATCATCCTCAGTGGTGACTCCAAGCCATACTGATTTTCAAAAGAGTTTTAGGCTTCTGGAGGACACAATCATGTTGTTCCCCTTCTTGGGCTCCTTCGAAGTGTTGGGCCCATAGTGGGCTCCAGAACTATGCGTTGAAGTGAATGGTGCCGTCCTGAGCTCAACACTCCCTTCCCTTCCCTTGTCTCTCTCAATGGTAGGGAAAGACCAGGGTGGGGAACTGTCATGGCTTATGCAAGTTGATATTGTTTTCAGGTCAGAAGAGTCAACAGAATGCTGTAAACTAGAGGCCAGGAATACTGGCCTGGGGGTCCTTTGAGGGAAAGCAAGAATAGCTTAGAATCAAAACATGAAGAGTTAGAAAGGACCTTAGAATAGAGAATAGTAGAGCTAGAAGCGATCTTAAATCACAGAATGGCAGAAATGGAAGGGCCCTTGGGCCACAGAATGTCAGAGCTAAAAGGAGCCTTAGAATACTTAGAACATAGAGTGTCAGAGCTAGAAGGCATCTGAGAACACTCAGTGTCAGAGCTGGAAGGGAATTTGTGGACACAGAAAGTTAGGTTTGGGAAGGATCTTAGAAGAGAGAGAGCTGAAGCTGAGAAGGACCTTAGAACATAAAATATCAGACCTAGGAGGGACCTTAGAAAGAGAATGTTAGAGCTGGGAAGGGACCTTAGAACACAGAATGGCAGAGTTGACACAGAATGTCAGAGCCAGGAGGGAGCTTAGAACACAGAATAACAGAGTTGGGAGGACCATCAGAACAGAGAATGTCAGAGCTGGAAGTGTCCTTAGAACACAGAACGGCAGAGGTGGGAGAGGCCTCACAACAGGGAATGTTAGAACTGGGAGAAACCTTAGAACAGAGAATGTCAGAATTGCAAGTGAGTTTAGAACAGAGAATGTCAGAACTGGGAGAGCCTTTAGAACAGGAAATGTCACAGTAGGGCAGGACCTTAGAAAACATAGTCGGAGATGGAAGGGGTCTTTGCACAATGAATGTCAGAAGTGGGAGATACTTTAGAACACAAAATGTCAGAGTTAGAAGAAAAACTTCAAGGCCTTCCAACCCAACCCACTCATTTTAGAGATGAGGAAATGGAAGCCCAGGGAGGAAGAATCTAATGACAGCTCATCTCGTCCAGTCCGTGTTTGAAGCTTGACCTGCCTCTCCCACGTCCTCAGCAGGTACCTATCTGACCTTTGACCTCAAGTGCCAGGGAATACTCCACCTCTTCATCCTACTGTTGGACAGCTCTGATTTTTAGGAAATTCTTCCTCCCTATCAGAGGAGTCTTAATCTGGGATCTGTAAACTTTGTTTTCAATGTCTGGAAAACTGTATTACATACAGTTGGAGATATATAGATGTGCATATCTATATATCTCTATAATATAGAGGTACAATAATTGTATATGTAATCTAAACAATAATATTAATAATAATAATATATAATGATAATCAGATATGTAAACTATAGTTATATTCCTCTGTAATCTTATATATTATATTTTATTAATTTAAAAATATTATTCTAAGGGATTCTTGGGTTTCACCATGCTGTCCAAAAAGTCTGGGACTCAAAAAAAGGTGAAGGATCCCTGTGCTGCACTGGGCCGAAATGTGCCCGTGGGGTGGCGTGGGAACCATACCCAGAGGAGAGCGGTGCCATGGCTTTGAGGCTGTTGGGGTTTCGAATCATTTTGTCCAATGTGTTCACAATCTGCCCAAACTTGGGCCGGTGGTTCCGGTCCTTCTGCCAACAATCCAGCATGAGCTGGTGCAGGGCATTGGGGCAGTCCATGGGAGGGGGCAGCCGGTACTCTTGCTCTATGGCGTTGATTACCTGACAGACAAAAAAAAAAAGATGATAATGATGACGGTGACGGTGACGAGCAGGATAATCCCTTTTACTTTTAAGGCACCTTACAGCACTTCCCTCACAACAATCTTGTGAGGTGGCTCATACAAGTATTATTAACCCCATTCTACAGATGGGAAAACTGAGGGCTAGCGAGGGGAAGTGACTTGCCCAAGGTCACAGAGCAGAGCTAGTACCTAAACTCAGCAATTCTGACTCCAGGTCTGCTGCTTCTTCCGTAGTATCAAAATAGTAGAAGAAACGGAAAGAACAGCAATAATGAACATTTAGTAAGAATAGAAGCATTTAGTAAGCACCTACTATATGCAGGCACTGAGGATATGAAGACAATAGTAAGGTAGTTTCTGACCTCAGGCAGCTCGCAGTCTTTTGGGGTAGTGGATACAACATGTGCCTAGATAAGTATTGACAATAATTGATTATTATCGGGTTCCTTCTGTTCTCTAGAATAGAATGTAAACTTCTTGGCCTGGCCTTTAAGGATCCCCACAATCTGGCTGCAACTTAATTTTCCATCCTTATTTCTCAGTGTTCCTCTTCACCTACTTACAAATCAAAGTTGGAAGGGACTACAAAGGTCTTCTTATTCTTTCCACCCATTTTATGGACAAGGAAACTGAGGCCCAGGGAGGTCTGTGTTCTCAGGGCCCTCCCAGCACTGACCCTGTTCTAAAGTCCTTTCCATTTCTAATATGGGTCTTTGCCTCCCAGGCTACGACCACCTGCGTGTTAGTCTTGTCTTCCTAACAAGATTTTTGGGAGGCAGTGGGGTGCAGTGGAGAGTAGACTAGGTTTGGCTGAATCCTCCCTTTGCCACTTGCTACTGTGGGACCTTGACCAGGTCAGAGCCCAGGCTCTAGGCCTCAGTTTCCTCCTCTGTAAAACAGAGAGTTTGGGTTATATGGGCTTCTACGGTCCCTTCTGAGCCTATGTTGATAGACTTCTTGAAGGCAAAGATCAGCCACTGTCACAGCATACAGAACGAGAGTCGATGATGCAGCAGGTCCTCGATCAATATCTGATCCTCGTCTGATCACCCGATAGGTTATTCCAATGGGCTCTGCCATTTATGAGAGCAAAGACTTGTCAGGATAGACCCTATTAAGTAACTTGGGGGCAGATGTTGGGCTGTGTCCCGGAAACAGCCAGCATCTGGTAGACACCCGTGAGGGGGCTGGGGCCAGGGGCTTTCAACAGCTATCATCTCCCACCCTGTGGTATCTGGACCAGCCCCATGACTTTGGTCTCCTCCCTCCCTCTGAGAAATTACCGCAGTCAGAAGAAAAATGTGGGTTCCTTCTGTTGGATATTTTGGCAAAAGATCTTGCTTATTTCAAAGGTTCTGTTTCTGTTCCCTTGAAAACTTACATCCTGATTGGTCATGTCCCAGTATGGCCTCTCCCCATAGGACATCACTTCCCACATGACTATTCCATAACTCCACACATCACTGGCAGATGTGAATTTCCTGTATTGGATGGCTTCTGGAGCTGTCCAGCGTATTGGGATCTTCCCACCCTGGGGAGAGAGAAAGAAGGAATCACAGATGTCCAGACGTGTAGAGTCAGAGGGCCCATAGTGGCCTTCTAGTCCAACTCATAACCAAACAACAATATATTATATTAGACTACAATATACTATATAACATTATATAATGTAATATATATTTAACATAATATCTACTATAATATGACTGACAGACACGTGGCCAGCCTGCTTCTGTTTGAAGACCTCCAGCAAGGGAGAACACCCACTATATTCTCAAACTATTTCATTTCACTTCTGGCAGCTATCAAAGTGAGGAAATTTTTCCTGACTTTCTTGACTTCCTGATAAAGAAGCCTAAATTAGCTTCTTTATAGCTTTCACTCACTGTTCCTGAATCTGCCTCCTGGGGCCAGACAGGCCCCATACATCCCTCTTGCACGTGACAGCCTTTCTAATACTTGAAAACAACTCCCATGTCTCCCATGAGTCTTCCCTTCTCCAGGGTAAACATCCCCAGTTCTGGTCCTCTTATTGCACATACTTTTGCCATCCTGTGTGACCTATTGGAGTCGAGTTTGAGCTTTAGTAGACTGAGGAAGTTCCAGGAAACAACACAGGGTTCTGAGGAGCTCCCTATAGGCCTTCCCTGGGCTCATTAAAAAAAATCATCTCCCTTTTTATGGACACCATCTTCAGCATCATCATCATCATCATCATCTTCTCCTCCATCTTCTTCTCCATCATCATCATCATCTCCTCCTCCCCCTCCTCCTCCTTCTTATTATTAGCAGCCATGGGACTATCTCTCATTGAGTTTGCAATCTACTAAAACATATAAACACATCTCCCCCCCCCCGTATAGTTGATTTTTTTTTTAAACTAAAGTTTAGTGGCCTACATCAGATTGCGTACTGTCTTGGGGAGGGAGGGGGAGAAAAATTTTAAAACTCAAAAGCTTATGGAAGTGATTGTTGATAAATCAAAATAAATTATATATATATATAAACTAAAGTTTAGGACTTTTAAATTTTATCCCTATTATATTTTATTTTATTAGATTCAGTCCATTTTTCCAGTTTCTTAAGAGCTTTTTAGATCTCAATTCTGGCATAGAGTCTTGCATACAGTAGATGCTTAATAAATGCTTATTGGATTGAATGGAATCCATTGTATGGTTAGCTTTGTTCTGTCTTCAAATTTAATAAACACACTATCTATGTATTCATCCAGGTCATGGATAAAAGTGTTACCACTTCCCACAGTGGAGGGTTCTGGGTATATGTCCTAATGGTCTGTGTTCTGTATGCAATCTGTTACAATATCTATCCCAGGATGGGAATTTTATGCTTTGAGGTCCCTTCTAGTTCTACATTCTATGTTCTAGGGTCATTTTCAGCTCTGAAATTTCATAATCTAAGATTAGCTTCAGTTCTGACATTCTATAATCAGAAGTTCCTTCCATGGTCTATGATTCTTCTATCTGTGCTGTGAGATTTTCAATTGTACTCAAGATCTATGAAACTGTGAGTCACTCTGAGAGATTTTTTCTGAGGGCCATGATTACGACTCAGGCATGCTTGCCTGTCATTTTGGGGTCAATGTTTCTTTTTGAGTCTCAGTTTCCTGTGTCTAAAATCAACAACCAAAGGAATAATAGTTGACGTTATCCTTCAGCCTGCACGTCAGAGGATCATCTGTCAGCAGTCTACACGGGGAAGCCTTCCTTAGGTTTATGGGACAATGGGAAACTTGGTTCAGTATTTCTTTTCTTTTTTTTCTGCCTCCCTGGTATTGCTACCCCAGGCTTTGCTAGCTTGCATGTCCCTCTTCAAAGGATTGCCTTTTCTCTTTGCATTAGTTACCAGGGCACTTGTATAGGTGGGGTCCGAGGTGTCATCTTCCAGGAAGCGTGAGAGTCCAAAGTCAGACACCTTGCAGACCAAGTTGCTATTGACCAGGATGTTTCGGGCGGCCAAGTCTCGATGCACATAATTCATGTCTGCCAGGTATTTCATGCCCGCAGCAATGCCCCGAAGCATGCCCACTAGCTGGATAACGGTGAATTGCCCATCATTTTGCTTTAGGAGAAACGAGAGACAGAAGCAGAATAAGAAAGGTATTAATCATAGGCAACTGGCCAAGATTCACAGAATCTTATGGTTAAAAGAGACTTTCTAGAGATACAACGAGTCTTTAGAGGACTAGTTCAACCCATTCTCGAAGCAGGAACCCTCTCTAGAACATCCCCAACAACGTCCCCAGCTTCTTGCAGACCTCCCTAGACAGGGAAGTCATTACTCACACAATTCACTCAACTGTTGAACAGATTAATTAGGGTGTTTGTCCTCAAACTGAGTCCTCTACTACCCCGTAGCACACTCCCACCAGCCTAGAATATGTACAATAACTTCCTTAAAGATATTCTGCATGGCTGACTATCTCCATAGGTCTTTCTTTACCACATCCTGTAACAACACTTAAAAACTGCCTAGGGGTTGTTACTTACCTTCTCTCTCTATATTTATATCTATATATATAAAATATTTGTGTGTGTGTATGACATTCTGTGTTCTAAGGACCCCCCAACTCTGACATCCTGTGTTCTAAGGGTCCTCTTGCCGCTGACATTCTGTGTTCTAGGTCGTCCCCCCCCCCACTCTGACATCCTGTGTTCTAAGGGTCCTCTTGGCTCTGACATTCTGTGTTCTAAGGGCCCTTCCAGCTCTGACATCCTGTGTTCCAAGGGTCCTCTCAGCTCTGACATTCCCTTTTCTAAGGCCCATCCCAGCTCTGACACTCTGGGTTCTAAGGATCCTTCCACCCCTTTTCAGCACCCTATTAGAATGGAAACTTCCAGCTGCAAGAGATTTTCTTCTTCTAGTTTGTTGCTGTCCAGCCATTACAGTCATATCTAACTCTCCATGACCCCATTTAGGGTTTTCTTGGCAGAGATACTGCAGTGGTTTGCCACTTCCTTCTCCAGCTCATTTTACAGATGAAGAAACCGAGGCAAAACAGGGTGAAGTGATTTGCCCAGGGTCATACAGCTTGTAAGTGTCTGAGGCCAGATTTGAACTCAGGTACTCCTCACTCCAGGGTGGATACTCTATGCACTGAGCTACCCAGCTGCCCTTCTAGTAATATCAACTAACTGAATAATTCAACTCTGCCATTGTTCCTGAAAGCCTGTCTACTTCTCTGTGGCCTCATTCCATGTCCAGGCAACTTTTTTTGACCAAAATGTCCCTCCCTATGCACCACTCCGCTAAGAAGTGTGCTATATCTCCCATTAGAGGGTAAGCTGGAGCTGTCTTTGCTTTGTTATTTAGAGACAGAAGAAACAGGTGCAGAGAGGTTTAAGTGACTTGCTGATATCATCTGTAAGGAGCCCAAGGTTTTTTGATTATTTTTTTTAAAGCCACAAATTCTCAATCTGACTCCTGCTTCACTCTCTGATCATGCCAGCTACAGCTGGCTGCAAAGACCTAGGAGAAGGCACCTGGAGTTTTGCTCCTGGGCCTTCAGGCCCTCTCCAGCACAGAAACAAAGGAGTTTAGCACCTAGCGGGTGGAATAATTAAGTCAAAATAGCAAGCTACCAGACCTGTGCACTGTGAATAATCTGTGAGCTACTATCTAATTAATTCCCCCTCTGGCTCAAATGAATTTCTCCTAATTGCTCCTGGTATTATTTTCTCAGTTGAATTACAAAGTGGGTTTTGGGGTGCTTTGATGGACTGAGCATTCTTTGTGCTGCTTGCCCAGGGGCCAAAATAGCTAGTTATGGCTCTGTCCCCCGAGGCCCTCTGGGAGCTGTCTTCCCCAGGAAGACTAGTGTCTTCAGTGTCCTTCACACAAACCACATGGACATATGGACCCACTGCTTTGCTCATATCCTTTCCCCTAGTCTGGAATGCCTTCCTTGTTCCTGTTCACTTAGCTTGGTCCATCTTAAGCCCTTGCTCCTTGATGAAGCTTTCTTTGACTTCGTTCATCCAAAAGGATCTCTCCCTTTTTAAAAATCTTGCAGCACTGGTGGTGTCACCAGAATGGCGCTTAGCTTATACTGTCACAATCAGTGGCTGTTACTTACCTTCTTCATATACATGACATCCTGTGTTCTAAGAGCCCTCCCACCTCTGACATTCTGTGTTCTAAGGGCCCTCCCAGCTCTGACATTCTGGATTCTAAGGGCCCTCCCAGAACTGACATTCTGTGTTCTAAGAGCCCTCCCAGATCTGACATCCTGTGTTCTAGGGCCCTCCCAGCTCTGACATCCTGGGTTCTGAGGGCCCTCCCAGCTCTGACATTCTGTGTTCTGAGGACGCTTCCAACTCTGATGTTCTAAGATCTCTTCTTACTCTAAAGTCCCATATGCTAATATTGTATGATCTAAGGTCCCTTCTGAGAAAATATGAGGGATTTTGGCTGTAAGCCTGAGTGGAAGAGAGCTCACAGCTGCTTGTCGTTGTGAATAACACTCCTCCCACCCCTTCCCTCCAGTGTCGTGACACTAGTCATCAGTGGAATAGGCAGGTCAGGAAGTCCCTCAGTATTTCTAACAAGAGTGTGAAACAGAGACTGAGTATAGTGAGAAAACAGGTGGAGGATACTGGTGTGGAAAAATGAGGAAAGGGATTAGAACCTGGCTGTACTGGCTATATCAAAGCTGAGAGAATGGGTTAATGTACATTTATGAAGGTCTTTGGGAGGGGATCCCTGGCAGTTTTAAGGATGATTCTGGCCATGAATGCTCAGAGAGTTGGGTCTGCCCCTAGTATGAGCTCTGATCTGTGGGAATATAAGAATAGTGAGTATTACAATGTTACTTGACATCCCTTTGGTGGGAACGAGTGCATCTTGGTTTTAGGGCCTCTCCACAAAGTGATTCTGGCCACTGGAGTGATGATAACCCTCATTAGATGGACAGCTAGGTGGTGCAATGGATAGAGTGCCAGGCCCAGGGTCAGGAAGACCTCAGTTCAAATCTAGCCTCAGACACTTACTAGCAGTGTTTCCCTGAGCAATTCACTTTACCCTGTCTGCCTCAGTTTCCTCACCTGTAAAATGAGCTGGAGAAGGAAATGGCAAACCACTTTAGTATCTTTACTAAGAAAATCCCAAAAGGGGTCATGAAGAGCCAGACATGACCGAAACAACTGAACATCAAGGACAATAATCTGAATGGCAAAGTTTTGACCTCCATGTGTAAAATGAGTGCTTTGTCTGTGAAGTAGCATGAATACAAGTGGGTCTTGCTCTGACATTCTATGTTCTAGTAATCTGTGGTTCTTGACTTCACTGACCCCTTTTCCCCTTTCTGCTTCTCTCTCCTCCTCTCTTCTCCTTTCCTTCCCTTCAGTCCCTTGGCCTGCTCCATCCTCTCTTACCCGGAGGAAGGAATCCAGGGAACCATTCTCCATGAACTCAGTGATGATCATGACTGGTGTGCTCTTGGTGACCACGCCCTCTAGGTGGATGACATTGGGATGGTCAAACTGACCCATGATGCTAGCTTCACTCAGGAAGTCCCGCCGCTGCTTCTCTGTGTAGCCCGATTTGAGGGTCTTGATGGCCACAAAAATCTCTCTTTTGCCTGGCAGCTTCAGGTGGCCACTACAGACTTCACCAAATTCCCCTGGGATGGGCAGACAAAAAGGGGACAGCAGATCACTCACAGGATGGCAGTTCTGCCTTAGTCCTCTCTTCCATGTCATCTCCACTCACTGGGCTCTACAAAGATTGTTGCTTTTCCTTCCCAAAGACCAACCCGATCATTTCAGACACAGAACCCTAACCCTAAGCTTCCCTTCCATCTACAGTAACCAGACCTCCAGAGAAGGAGGATCAGAAGTGGTGTGACAAATTGCCTCCTCATTGAGTTGACCTTGGCCAATATGAGAAACAAAGTGGATGACGAGCCTGGTCCCCTTGGGACTCCCTTGGGGAGAAGGGGTCCAGGGCAGTCCTCCTCCCACCCTTAGACCTACGTATCTGCAATGGATTCTCCTGGCTACTGAGGGGGATCCCGGAGGGCAGAGGCCACGGTGCCCGGGAGGGCCCCCACCCACCTACCTGCTCCAATCACCTGCTCAATTTTGACACAAGAGATGTCAATTTCCTTGGCAAACTCTCGCACGGCTTCGTTGGGGTCCTCATAGGTGAAGGGGGTCAATGTAGATTTTCATGCCTGGAGTCACTGGGAGGGGGGGATGAGATCAGGGCTCAGTCACACCAAACTGTGGACACTGACAGACGGATGGACAGACAGACAGACAGCTGGGAAGGGGCACTCAGCTGCAGGCAGACACTCCTGGGCAGGGCAAAGCCATTCCTGAGCGTCCTCCCAATACCAGCCTATGCAAATTGGCCAGAAGAAAGGCGCATCCCAGAACAAGATAGTGAGTGGGGGTGACGAGGAAGGGGGAGTCAATAAGGAAGAGGGAGACTTAAGGAGAAAACACCGACATACAGTAAAGCATTTTCATAAGGATTTAGTGCTAGAAAGGACCTCAGATCCCACCCAATTCCACCCCTTCACACCATAGGACAAAGAGTTTCACACAGCTAGTAAATGTTGGAGTCAGAATTCAAACCCATGTTATCTGAGTTTCCAAATCCAGGCTCTTCCCATGACACCACACTGCTCCTTTGGTTCTAAGAAACCCGTGCTTGTGAGAGTGACTGTTATCAGAATTCCCTCCATCCTTCAAGGCCCAGCTTGAGTTCCATGCTATCTTCTCTGATCCCCCTATTCAAAGGGCTATGTCTCTCCCCTGCATTCTGACTTCATTTATTGTCTATCAGTGTCTGTGTATGTATTTTATCTTCAGTGGATTACAAGCTCTTACAGGGGAATTGTGCCTCCCATATTCATATCAAATATAAGCTACCTCCCTAAAAACAAGAAGGTTTTGAAAAACAGTCACTGAAAAAATCATTTCTTTTTACAATCAATGAATAAAGTATTGTATTAATCTTTCACTTGAAATGAAGAAATTTCCTTCTTCATTCCTGGTCATGTCCCTCATCTGCATCCAAATCTTCAGGGGCTCCTTACTGTCCACTGAGTCAACTTGATGCCTTTGGGGTCCCTTCTAACTCTACAACTGTGGTCAACATTCAGGCTGCTGGGGTCTGATGTCCAATGCCCTCCACCACATATCGACGCACATCCATCTACTTTTCAGTTTTATCTCATATTAGGGTCTTAGATTTAGAGCGAGGAGGGATCTTTGTGGTTATCTAGCCCCAGCCCTCTTATTGTGCAGATGAGAAAGCTCAATCTCAGATGGGATGGAAGTGAGTGACTTATCCACAGCCACACAGGTAATAAGGATTTGAATCTAGGACCTTGGTGCCTTTATGGGTTTCTCCAGCTAAAATGGGCAGTGAGGTGACGTCATAGCGCATAGAGCCCTGGGCTTGGAGTTAGGAAGGCCAGAGTTCAAATCTGGCGTCAGACACTTCCTAGCTGTGTGACCCTGGGCAAGTCACTTCACCTGTTTGCCTCAGTTACCTCATCCATAAAATGAGCTGGAGAAGGAAATGGCAAACCACTCCAGTATCTTTGCCAAGAAAACTCGAATTGGGGTCTCTGAGAGTTGAACACAACTGGACTAACAGCCTAACATAACAATTACAACTGAATTTACAGAGTGCTTGAATGCTTGCAAATCGATCATCACAAAGACCCTGTGAGATGCGTACCATAATACTAATGGATCCCTTTTACAGATGGGGAAACTTAGGGTCACAGTGGTTCAGTGACTTGCCCAGGGTCACACAGCTAGCATCTATGGCAGTATTGGAACTCAGATCTTCCTGACTCCAGGTCTAGTGCTCTATCTACCACACCACCTAGCTGCCTCCGACTGGAAGCAAGCAGCCAAGCTGGGCTTCAAATCCACATCCTTGATTATAGACTTCAGAGCCAGAAAAGCCCTCAGATTCTCTTCTTTTCACTCTTACACTTTACAAAGGGGAAAACCAGATTTTGGGAGAGAAAATAACTTGCTTAGTCTCAGATAATTTGTCAGTAGCAGCCAGGGTTTGAACCTGGGACTTTGCTCCTGGTGAACTGTCAAGGGCTCGGAGAAACCGGAAGCAGTACTACTGTACTGTTCTCTGGGGATCCCTGAGGTTCGGCTGGTCAGTAACTCAGCTCACTCTCAGCTCGAGGACTGGCTGTGAAAGGCAGTCTAGAACCCAGCCCTCGGATCTGGGGCTGACTGCATTCACAGGCAGGAAGCCGGCGGAGACTCCCCCTGGAATAGTCAATCAGCCTGGTTCCTCCCTTCCTGAATTAGTCCTAGCCAGGCACTGGTGTCAGCTCCCTGGGAAAACAAAACAAAACCCTCCCCTTTCTTCTCTAGGTGTTTAGCCTTAGAAGATCTGCAGATTCCTCTCCTTGCAAAGGCCTGCGGCTTACCTGCCTGTATCCAGCTCTGAGGCTTTGATCTTCTTTCCCCGCAGAACAGGGGGAAAGTTTCTCTTGCTTTAATTGCCATCCGGGGCCAGGAGCTTGGTGGGTCAGAGCTTGGTGCTAACGAGGTCCAGTTTCTAAACTCAATCCCCACAAGGGCTAGTTAGTGCTATACTGAGAGAAATTCTCTTCCCCAGTTGCATGTCCTGGCCCCGCCTTCCCAAAACCCTAGCTGTCAATCCGATTGAAAACCTGGCTGTTGGTTGTAATGTGGCCTGGGTGTGGGAGTGGGATGGCTCAGAGCTAAGCCATCATCATTACTGGGGATGTGACTTGAAGCCTGAGCCTCATCTGCCTAGAAGGTCAGGTCCTGGGGCATCAGCATGCTCAGGGTAGGGAGCATTCTGGTAACGTGAAGGCTGTCTAGAGCAGAAAGTGCTCACTGACAGTCAGGGGTCCTGAATTCAAGCAGCTCCACTAACTTAAGCGGTACGAGACAGTATTTGTAAAGCCCTCTGCAAACCCTAAAGCACCACATTTTTTGTTTGTCTGCTTAGTTTTTCCAATTGTGGTCAACTCTTTGTGACCCCATTTGGGCTTTTCTTGGCAAAGATACACGAGTGGGCTGCCATTTCCTTTCCAGATCATTTGACAGATGAGGAAACTGAGGCAAATAGGGTTGAGTGACTTACCCAGGGTCACACAACTAGTAAATGTTTGAGGCTGGATTTGAACTCAGGAAGATGAGTCTTCCTGACTCCAGGCCCAGCGCTCCATCTGTTATGCCATGTAGCTGCCCCAAAGCACCACATACATACCAGCTATAATGATGTCACTTTGCCTCTGGATATAAATTTGTTTCTCTACAAAATAAAAACTAGATGAATTATAAGGTCCTTCCCAGCGCTGTCTTTATATATTCTGAAGCCCTTTCCAGTTCTGACATTCTATGTTCTAGGCTCTGACATTCTATGTGCTAAGGTCCATCCCAGCTCTGTGCTGTATCCTAGCATTCATCCCAGCTTTGCTGTTGAACGCTCTAACACTCTATATTCTAAGATTCCTTCCAACATTAACATTATGTATTCTCTTTTTCTTCTGAGATTGGGTCTCCCAACTGGGTTCCCACTGTGTGGTGGACACAGTCTAGAGGCATTCATTGCTTTTCATCTGGCAACTGTAATCACTTCCAGAGACAGTAATGGTGCTCTCCACTGGCCACCATCATCCTCTCCTTGCTCCCATCTCTCTTCTACACCACTGCTCAATCCATGGTCGGCTCCAGACCATGTTACTATCTCTACAATAAAAGACAAATTTCTCTGCCTGGCCTTTAAAGCTAGAGTGAACTCTAGCTCTCACTTGCCTAGCCAGGTTTTCTCCCCAGTGGGGGAAGGGAATCAGCATTTATTTTATTTTATTTTTTACTTTTTGGCGAGGCAATTGGGGCTAAGAGACTTGCCCAGAGTCACACAGCTAGTGAGTGTTATGTGTCTGAGGCTGGATTTGAACTCAAGTCCTCCTGACTCCAAGGCCAGTGCTCTATCCACTGTGCCACCTAGCTGCCCCTGGGATCAGCATTTATTAAGCATCTACTGAGTGCCAGCCACCGTGCTAAGAGCTTTATAGATATTAATTCCATTTGATTCCATCCCAGTATTTCTCTTTGCATACTTTACATTGCAGCTAAATGGACTCCTAGCTGCCCCCTGAACTTAACAATTGCATCTCTCACCTCCAAACATTTGCATAAACTATACTTCATATTTGGAATGGTCTCCAAGCTGCCTCCTCCATGGATGCTTCCCTGACGCCCTCCACTTCCAATATTCCCAAAACACTCTGATGTCTTTGACCCCCGCTACACCCTATCATGCGTTATGTTAGTTTGTGTGTGTCCATCTTACAAGGTACAAAGTATGGTTTCATTTGATCCTCTAAACACTCCCTGATCATACTAATTCATTCTCAGAAATACAAGTACCATTCAACCTATTTTACAGATAGGAAAACTGAGGTTTGGAGAGGTGAGCTGTCTTTGTTTTACCTAAGGGCATTGGGTTAGCAAGGACTTAAGCCCGGGTCTTCTGACTTCACCTTGAGTATCGTCTAGAATTGCTCCTCATTTTGTAGATCAGGAAACAGGGGCCCAGAGAAGGTATGTAACTATCCTGAGGTCACACCGTAAGGAACTAGCAGAGCCGGGCCAAGGCCCCAGGTGTCTTGATTCCCAGGCTAGGGTTCTTTCTAAGGATATTCCCTTTAGTTAAGTTCTGGCTGTGTGATATTTTTACCACAAATGGGCCAGCTCATGTTTTTTTGGTAAAAAGTTCTATTTTGTTCCTACAATCCAGCTTACATAAAAATGACTTATCAAATGTTCACATTTGTGGATGCTTCCTAAATTAGTAAGCAGGCTGACTTAAAGTATAACTTGTATATTCCTTTGTAAGGGAAATAGAGCTAAAACATTTCTATGTAAATAACACCTTCATAAAGATAGGAAAGTATGAAATTAAAGGGCTTTCTGCTATATAGAACAGGATAATGCTTTCTCCATTAATCTGCCTCGTCAGTCATCCCTTCTGTCTTATAATCTGTCATTATTTCCCTCCCCATTGTGCCCTTCACTTGTGTCTATAAACATGCAGCTCCTAAATGTGACTTTTTTTTTCCTTTTTGGTGAGGCAATTGGGGTTAAATGACTTGCCCAGGGTCACATAGCTACTAAATGTCAAGTGTTTGAGGCTGGATTTGAACTCAGGTCCTTACATGTGACTTTCTTGAGAGCAAGAGCTAACTTGCTTTTCTACTTGTATACTCAGTGCTCTCCTTTCAAAAAAAAACAAACAAACCAAAAACCTTTCTATAAACAGTAATACTAATACATTGTTAGTGAAGCTATTATAAATACTCAGGAAAAGAATTAACAGCTTGGAGTTTAAAATTCTGAGTTAAAATTTAAGTCATTAAACTCTTCACACTTAGCAGATGCCGGAAAGTATTTTCAGAGAGACACAGAAGGTGTTACGTACCAGGTGGGTCAAACCATCACCACTTAGCCTTAGACTTTAGTGCAGATGGCCTAGTTCACTGAGCCTAGGGGTCCTTGGAATAGCAGGGCCTTCCCAGATCACTGTCCCTGATTTTAGCCTACACCCCATAGCCACCATCCAATGAAACAACCTTTGGGCAGATGTAACCTCTGTAGATCCTGTAGCCCTGAATATTCAGCTACCAAATATCTAGAAAAGAAGGTTCTCACCTCTAAGGTCCTTGTGGGCCAGCTCTTTTTTATCTGGTCAGAACAGAAAAGTCCTGGGGCTATAACCTGGCTGCCAGGCCCCTTCAGAAGAGGGGCTCATATTTCTGGAATGGGGGCCCACTGCACATTCTCCTTCCTAGCCCAGGGAAAGGTTGCAGCTGGAACTGGAGGGGACGGGGACAAAGAAGTCACCCCCACCGGAGAGCTTGGGCCTGGGAGAATGGGAAACTGGAAGGCCTTCCTCTGCTCACCTGTCTGGGCTTCACATCAGCCCCCTTGGCCTCCTTTTCCTTGCTCACTCTCTACTCTCCTGATCTCAGGTGTGCCTCATCATATCTATGCCCCCGCCTGTACCCACCAACCCTGGCCCTTTTCACTGTGTCCCTTCCACTCTCCCTCCCTCCTTCTTTCTCTGTTCACTAGGGGGGATAATTTCCTTTCTCAACCACTTCCCAGGCTCTTACACATTTATCCTATGTGCTTCTTCTTCCATTCCCTTTCCTGCTCCCCTACTTGCCCTATCCCCTGCTCAGGTCTCTGACCCCTCTCCAGCCTCCTCCTCAACTTCCCTCCTGGGCTTCTTTCCTTCCTGATCTCCTAGGCCCTCCCCCTGCCCCATAAGCCCACCTCTTCGTCCCTCCCCTGAGTTACCCGCCCTCTCTGCTCACCTCCCTGGGCTCTCCCCTTGCTCCTGTCTCCATCTGCTCTGTAACCTTTGCCAGCTCCCCTTTTTGCCCCATCTCTAACCTCCAGCCCCCCTCATTTTCCTCACCATCCCCTTAGTTCACTAAGGGTTCACTTTGGAACGCTCAGCTCATCTTTTTCATCTCCTTAGCCTCTATCTCTCTTTCTCCTTCCCCTGCTTTGGTCCACCATCCCCTCTCCACCCTGCTCCTATCACTACCCCACTCCTCTGGCCAGTCATCTCTCCTGCCTCCTGGCCTCTCTCGAGCTTCCAGCTCCCCTCTCTGCTGCTGCCCCTTTCCAGCCCCATCTCTGTCTCCTCGAAGGCCTCTCGGGCAGACCAGAGGTACCGTGGGCTCCCACGTCCCCCCAGAGGCCTCTGCCGGGGCCGGTGCATACATACTGTGGCCGCTGGTGTAATGCTGCAGCTTATCGGTGTACTCGGAGTCGGCACGCTCAAACCCCCGCCTTCTGGAACAAAAACCATGAGCTGAAGCCACCTGAACAAGCAGGGAGGAGGCTGGGAGCTTTTGCCTGGGAGGGCCCCTTCCTCAGGCTCCAGCCTCCTCCCTCTCCCACCACAAGCACCCTTCACCCAGGCCTTCCATCCCCAGTAATGGGCTACTTTGCCCCTTTTCCCTACCACCCACTCCCCTTTCCCTTCATCCCTCCCCTCTCTGGTTCCTGGCCATCTTCCCTCTGGTCACATCCTCTCCTCCTAAACCCCAGGAAATCACTGTCAAGGAGTGCTCCTTCTAACCCTCGTCCCCCCAGCGCCTTCCTGCCTGTGCTGTAAGCTTCTGGAAGGCAGGGCCTTTGGTCAGACCTTTTTTGTACCCCCAGAGCCAAGCACGGGACTTGGCAGCACCCCAATTCATCAATCCAATGAGCATTTATTAGGTGCCTACCACGTGATCTGGTGAAAAGCAGTGAGGAAAAGAGAGAGCAAGCCTTGAAGCGAATGAGACCCTTGCCTCTGATAGATAATGGCTTTGTGACCCTGGGTAAGTAACTTAATCTTTCAGTGTTCTAGACAAGTCTCTTAAGGTTTCTCTGCAGCTTAAAGAGAAGGTGCCAAGCTATGCTGGTCAGGGGAGTTTCCTGTACCAATGAAATCACAGGTACAATCTCTATACATGTCCTACCATGTGCCAGGCACTGTGCTGGGGATACAGAAACTAAAACACAATCCCTCCCTGCCCTCAGATTACTCACATTGTACTTAATAAATGAATTGGATAGAATCGCTAACTAGAAGCAAGTGTGATCAGGATGGTGCCTGCCACATAGTAGGTATTCAATAAATGTCTACTGGTTGATTTAGAGGATGGGCCCTTTCGTAGGGTAGCAAGGGCCTTAGAAATCCCCTTATTTTACAAATGAGGAAACTGAGGCCCAGAGGGATTAGTATCGTCACTTTCCAAGAGTGACAGAGCTAGTAAGTGGCAGTGCTGTCCTGTGACCAGAACTTTCTGCTGCCTGGTCCTTTTGGACAGCAGTCTGACCAGCTTATTCCCACTGTGGTATAAGAAACCTAGAATCTCAGAGGGGGAAAGGAACTTGGAGGCCACCGAGTCCAACACCACCTCAAAGCCTGAATCTCCTCCTCCAGTATACCTGACAAAAGGCCTCTAGCCTCTTCGTGAAGAGCTGCTGTGACCAGGGATTCACTCCCTCCCAAAGGAAGCACCCACTTCACTTGAAAACAGCTCTGGCTATCAGAAAATCCCCTCCCAGTAATTTTCACTAATTGGTCTCAGGGACATAGCCTATTTCCCCCTCTCAGTGAAGGCTTTGCTTTTTTTTTCAGAGAGAAGTCCAATGTCCAACCCAAAGAAATAAAACTGATGGAAGAATTTCAGACACCAATGATGGGTCATTTGCGGGGGGGTGATCAAAGGATCATTCATCATTGCCTTTAGAGCCTCAGCCATTTGACAGGTCATTCAGTCTAACCCCCTTGGAGGAAGCGAAGGCTGGGGAAGTGCTGTGTGTTTGGTTTTTCCGGGGGGGGCACTTAGACAACACCTTGTGGACAATGGCTGCTCTGTTCTAAGGCTGATGGACCCCAGCGAGGAAGCATACCTGTAGTGCCTAGACAGAGAGACAGAGCCCGGCACTCGGGTGGACAGACGGAAGGGGCCCCGGGGCGGGGGGAGGCGCACCTGTTACACACGATGGCAATGACGACCACGGCGATGAGGAAGACCAGCCCCGCCGCAGACGAGCCGATGATGAGAGGCAGCTTCTCTTGGATGCTTGTCTGGTACTCAGCTGGGGAAAGACGCGAGGTGCTTCAGGAATGGTGGGGGCGCGGCTGGGTCAAGCCCTCCTCCCCAAATCCTTCCCTCCTCTTTTCTTCTGACTCCTGTGCCCCACCCCCAGCCCATACTGGGAGCTCTTCCAGGGCAATCAATCATTAGTTCTTTGTTTCCTCACCTCCTTCTCCCCTGACCCCTGACCCCCCAAGTGCCAGGTAAAGTGAGCTGTGCAACTTGGAAATGCCTTCCATGACAACAGGCCACAGTCATCAACTCCTCCTCTGAATTCTTAGAGTATTTGGGAAATCATCATATGCTCTATTATACTATTAGACATCTCGTCTCTCCAACTAGACTATAAGCTCTTAGGCCAGGGTACCTCCAATTAATCCTCTATACAGCTTGTTTATACACTATTGTCCATATGTCTCTCCCCCACTAGATTGTGAGCTCCCGGAGGACAGGGATTATCTTTCGCTTTTCTTTGCATGGTACCTGCAGAGCACACAGTAGGTGCTTAATAAATGCTTGTTGACTTGCCCTGCCTCTGTGTTCACCCACCACGCTGGGCACTTAGTAGATAGTCATGAATGACTTATTCCATCGTAAGATTTTGGACTCAGCCTCTTAGAGTTTGAAAGGGCTCCTACAACACAGAATGTCAGAGCCTAGAGGGTCCTTACAATACAGAATGTCAGAGTTGGGAGGGTCCTTCGAATACAGAACATGAGAGTGGGAAAGGTCTCTAGAACATAGAATGTCAGAGCTAGAAGGGATGTTAGAGTATAGGATATCCAAGCTTGGAAGGGATCTTAGAACACAGAGTATTATAATATATAATGTCAGAGCCAGAAGGGTCCTTAGAACATAGAATGTCAGAGCTAGAAAGGATGGTGGAACATACAATATCAGAGCTTGAGGAGGGCCTCAGAACACAGAGTATTAGAACATGGAATGTCAGAATAGGAAGGGTTGTTAGAACATACGAAATTAGAGCTTGGGGAAGGCTTTAGGACACAGAATGTTAAAACATACAATGAATGTCAGAACAGGAAGGGATGTTAGAACATAAGATATCAGAGCTTGGGGGATGGCTTAGAAGACAAACTGTTAGAACACAGAATGTCAGAACTAAAAGGGATGTTGGAAAGTAGGAGGTCAGAGCTTGGTGGGGAGGGGCCTTAGAATTCAGACACAGAACATAAAATGTCAGAGCAGGAAAGAGCCTTAGGGATTATTTAGACCAGCCTACTCGTTCTACAGATGTAGAAACTGCGCTTTAGAAAAGTGCGGTATTTCCTGAAGTGATTAACAGCAGAACTAGGAAAAGAGCCCAGTGTCCTTTGCCCTGCATCACGGAGGCTTCAGGATGGTGAGGGGCTGTGCCAGGGGATATAGCGCCTGGAGCCCAGGTCTCTTGACTTTCCCTGATCCACTGTGTCTGAGGAATCCCTTCTCTCCTTCAGTCCCACAATGCCCAGACTCAGGCACTCCTGCCCAGTTTTCACCCCAGCCCAGGGCTCCCGGGAGCCTGAAGCTCTCTGGGAAGGCTGCGGTCTGTCTGTCTGCCTCTTCCCAGGTACTAAGGGCCTTCTTTCCCAGGCCTTCCTTTGCATATGTCTGCCCGTGAGGGGTCTGTCTCACCTTCAGTCATCGTCTGGAAATACATCTTGCCACTGTAGCGCCCGTAGCCCGCGACGGTGCGTGCCCGCACCTGGAAGACATAGATGGTGCCCGCTTTGAGGCCCTGCACGGTCACTGTGTTGGTGGGGCTTTTGACCGCAGTGGCATTGTACTCACTCAGGTCCTGCCAAGGAGCAAAGACAACAGTCAGAGGTCGTAACAGGAAAGATGATGAACCCCTGAATCACCACCATCACCACCAGCCCAGCTGATAATTGTAGAGTCCTCGAAGGTGTGCCTCACTCGAGCCTCACAACTCTGAGGGGGCCGGTCCCCGGGGTCATTATGACTGTTTTTAGATGAGGAAAGTGAGGTTCCTGCATTTGGAGTTGGACATCTAGGCTGGAAGCCCGGCTTTGCCACTTTTTACCTAGATGACCTTGGACTTCACTTCCCTGTCCATAAGTTTCCTCACCTGTAAAGTAAAGGGGCTGGAGGCAATGACCTCCAAGGCCTTCTCTAACTAGAAATGTTTGATTCTACAATTGTTTTACTTGCTTAAGGTCACATGGCTACTAAGGCTCCCTCCCAGCTCTGACATTCTCTGTTCTAAGGGCCCTCCCAGCTCTGACATCCTGTGTTCTAAGTTACAATGACCTAAATTACAAGGGGATCTTGTAAGCTAATAAAAGAGATAAGGAACACTTAAAAAAAAAGAAAAAGAAAAAGAAAAGATCTAGACAACTGAAAGAAACCAAAGAAATGGGTACAAATAGCTGTGCTGTAAACTGTGGTTAAATAAAATGCTCTGAACTCAGTGGAGGGAAGGTGCTTGGGGATGGTCGGGATGCTGCTGCAGCTGCTGCTGAGCTAGCTTCTCCACAACAATACTATGGAGTAGTCATTCAAGTATGATGGCCCCATTTTACAGAGGAGGTAACCTGAGGCTCAAAGAATGTCCATGGTCAAAAAGTTAGTAAGAATTAGAGCTAGAGGCTGAACTTGGGTTCTCATGATTTCAGGGGTCCAGTATTCTTTCCATTTCACCATTTAAAGGGGTTCAACGACGGATATGTGGATTGGGTTCAACCTTCTGATTGGTTTCCTGGATTCCCACCTCTCACCTCTCTAATCTATCCTCCATGTGGTTATTAGCAAATAAGTCATTTAAAAATCTGATTAGTAATTTAAAATTAGTAATTTAAAGATCTGATCACTTCACTCCCTTTCCAAAAGTCTTCGGTAACTCTACTACATTTAGAAGGCACTCGAGAGCCCTTCACATCCACCTTCTACCTTCTCAAGATTTATTTCATATTACTTCCCCCTTCTAGAGATGTGCCAGAACCAGCTTATGCTGGCTCAAGAGCTGTTGGTTAAATTTTCCATGTAAGCTTTGTGCCTTGGAAATTGGCAAACATTACCACTGAGGGCTTGATTTATTTTATTTTTAAAAATTATTTATTTTAAACAATTTTAATATATATTTATTATTACTAATATTATTATTGATTTATTTTATTGATTTTTAGATCTAAGAAAGTGACAGAGAAAATGTTCATAATACAGATCAAACTTAAATGTGTGTCATGTTCATTTTTTTCTCCAGAGAGCCAGTTGTTAAATACTTATCTGCATACCCCTGCTCCCTTCACACACTTTCTGTTTTAGCCAAACTGTCCTAATTGGCATTCAACCTCCCACCCCTGCACTTTTGTTCAGGCTGTCCCCCACATCTGGCATGTACTCTGTTCCCAAAGCTTCATTCAAAAGTTCAGCTCATGTCCCCTTTCTGGGTGGCTGGGTGGCTCAGTGGATAGAGCACCAGGCCTGGAGTTAGGAACACCTGAGTTCAAATCCAACCTCAGACACTTACTAGCTGTGTGACCCTGGGCAAGTCACTTCACCCTGTTTGCCTCAGTTTCCTCATCTGTAAAACAAGCTGGAGAAGGAATGACAAATCACTCCAGTATTTTTGCCACGAAAACCCCAAATGGGGTCAGGGAGAGTCGGATGTGAGTGAACAAAAACTGCAACAGACTTCCTCCTACCCAGAACTTTTCGTGATGCTCAGTTAAGTGTTTTCTCTTTCCTGAAATTATTTTGTATTTATCTGTTTACGTATTGTCTTCTTCAAGACAGCAACCCAACTAGAATTTATTAAGCACCTACTACGTGCTAAGCATGGATGATACAAAGAAAGGTGAAAAACAGTCCCTCTCTGAAGGATTCTAGCAGGGCAGACAGCATGCAAACACGCTACGTAGAGAGGATAAGTTGAAGATAGTCTCACTGAGATGAAAGGGTACTGGGAAAGGCTTCTTATAGAACGTGGGACTAGAAGGAAGCCAGGAGGCCAGAGGTGAGTGAGTTCTAGGCATGTGACTCTAGCCAGTGTTATAGTACATTCCCGTTTCACGTTGGGTCCCCAGTCCCTAGTACAGTGCCTTGCACATTATAGAAGTGTAAGAACTATTAAACTGAATCGAATAGAATATTCTTCTACTTAAAAGACCTGAGGTGTAATGTCAAGCATCAGCAGTAGGTGTCGCTGTCTAACACATGATGGGGTCCAGCTGGACCATGCTTTAGGAGCCTAAGATTTGCAAGGGTAATTGAACATTCTACTTGACCAGCTTTTTAAGGTCAAGCACCACAGGGTTACAGACACAGAGCTGGCAGGGTCCTCAGAGACCCTCTAGCCCAACCCCCACTTTTACAGAGTAAGAAACTGAGGCTCAGAGATGTCGCTCAAAGTCACGGATGTTAAGTGTCAGGGGTGGGATTTGAACCCAGGACATCTGATTCTATTGCTAGCACTCTCTTTCCTCTAGAGCAGGGGTTTTTAATCTTTTGAGTGTCCTAGACTCCTTTGGCAGTCTGGGTAAGCCTACAGACCCCTTCTCAGAATAACACTTGTTGTACATTCGTAATCGAGGGAAATGCTAGAGGTTGGTGAAAAATAAAGATATCATTTTTTCCCATCTAAGTTCATGGAGCCCCTGAAATCTGACTGTTCCACAGATTCCAGGTTAAGAACTCCCGCACTAGTGTTTGCTTATAATTAAGGACCATAAATATTTTTCTGAGTCCTTTGGTGACAAGTACAGGATCATTTAAGAATGTAACCATTCCCCCTCCCCTCCCCATTACCCCCTTTCCTTGAAATTGCTCTGAGATGCACCAATTATATCACAATTATATCACTTTCTAGGTAAGAATATGACCTATGCCATACAATGACTGAAATTCATTCAATTTAAACTGAGGATGTGGGGACCAGAGAAGATTCAGAAGGACGCGCCTTGATCTCCAGGGCTGCTGTGGGGAAGAGGCATCAGAGCGGATCTCTTTAGGGCTCAGGAGGGCAATGAATGAATGAATGAATGCATTGAGATTATAGGGAGGCTGATTTTCGTTCTACGTAAATGAATGACTGGAAAATTACTAAGTGCATGCTATGTGCTGAGGACTGTTAGGCACCAGGGAAGAGAAATGCTGAAGTGAGACAGTCCCTGCCCTTAAAGAGTGGGTATATTCTAATAGGCCATACAGAGAGGAGGAGTGTCCAGGAAAGGTGAATGGAGCCCTTGGCAGAAGTGACAGGAGTGTGGAGCCCAGAGATACGAGAGGGAGGGGGTGATGCTAAGATCAGCCTCAGGAAATAGTGGGCTGTCCCTCGAGGGCACTTTACAGGCAGGGAACCCATGCTTAGTCAGGGATATTGTAGAAGGAACTAGAGGATGGACCAGAGGGCCTTTGAGGCCCCTTCCATCTCTTAGATTGTGAATTTTTGAAGAAAAGCAGGCACTCGAGCTGGGAGAATGGCATCATGGGATTGCAGCTGCCTTATAGGGCTGTGGTCATTCATGGAAGCCGAGCTCCTCTCCTTTTCACTCTTTTCCCAGGGGAATGTTTCTGGGGATTAGCTTAGAGAAGACTAAAAACAAAGGGTGAGGCCTAGATGAAAAAGACTTAAGTGAATTTCACTGGTAAAAGGAGACTGAAAAAGGAGACTATTCTCCTATCTTTACTCCTTTTAATACTCCCTGAACCTTGGCTTTCTTCCTCTTCTGTAAAATGGACGATACGGACTGCGAGTCCTTTCTAAGTTCTACAATCTATGTAGAAGCATCACCCAGCATCAACATTCTCTATTTTACCATTCCAGGTTCTAAGGCCTTCTCCAGTTCTGACATTCCACATTCTAGGGTCTCTCTTAGATCTGACATTCTCTATTCTAAGACCCCTCCCATCCTTTGACATTCTCTATTCTAAGGCCCCTCCCAACTCCAGCATTCTGTGTTTTAGAGCCCCTTTGAGTCCTGACATTCCATGTTCCAAGGTTCCTCCAAGCTTTGACATTGTATGTCCTAAGATAATTCCCAGCTGTGACATTCAGTGTTCTAAGGTCCTTTGTGTTCCAACATTCTATGTCTTAAAGTCACTTTCAGGTTTCTAGCCTCTGTTCTAAGGCCTCTTTCAGCTCAGAAGTTCCCTTACCACACAAATTATTGAAGGATCCAATGAGAGGGTAGTACCTTTGCCTTTCTGATGCCAATCTCTTCTCTGCCTTGGGGCCCCTCTGGTATTTCCCTTCTCCTAAATGAGCAGTCAATGTTTCCCCTGTCTTTATACTGCTCCTGTAACCAGGCTCTGACCTTTCTTGTAAACTTTTTTTCCCACATAAAGCTTTTGGTGTGCCCTCCATGGGCTACTCCGCACGGCACATAGTAGGTGCTTAGGACATTTGTCGAAAAATGGAATGAATGGGTGAGAAGTTATTCTCCCCACCACCAGTCAGGACAAACTGAACTGGAGGGAGGCTCTCCTCTGAAAAGCCCCGGCCATGCCTGAGCGAACTCCCATTCATGTGGTGCTTTAGTTTACAAATCTCTTTTCTCACATCAGTCCAATGAAGTAGGTTAGATTATACAGGTAATAATATTATCCTTATTTTAGAAGAAAGGGAAAAAAACAAGGATCAGAGAGGGGAGGACAGTTGTCCAAGGTCACACAGCCAAGTGAGAAGATCTGGGAGGCCTTCTTACATTAAGTCCACTGTTCTTTCCATAATTCCAGGCTGCCCCTAACTAACACTGAGTTAAGGCAGCTGGACCGGCCCCCTCAGATCCACAGTCCTGAGAACTCTGGGACATTCAGCAGGGTCTGGGCTGATGCCAG